GCGCTAAAAAGCGGGGAAGCCCCGCGGCGAGCACCGCAGCATCCACCTGCCGCCGAAGCGGGGCCAGGGGAGCCCGCCGCCCCCCCAGCGGCGCGTCCTGCCGCGGACGAGCGGCTCCCCCGCCCCCGGCTGCACCCCCCTGCGAGCCAAACACGCTGGCAGTGTTTCCAGCGGGATGAACAAATCGTGCCCCCCTCTCCCCACGCTATCAACGCCTGAAAACACCACGTTGTGCCTTTGAGAGCAAGTATCTGCTTGTTTTTTTGCTTCCAGGGGAAAAAAAACCAAACCCAAAACCCAACATCCTTTTGGGGGGTTGGGGGAATTCACCAAGACGTTTTCACCACCTTCTCCCATTTGTAACAATTGGAATTGCAGAGAGGGAGAAAATACACTTTTCCTGTTGAAACAGACCAGATTTGGTGTGTGTGATAAGTATGTCTCATTTGTGTATTCAAAAGAAAAAACCCCAAACAACTAAGTTAAAGAACATTTAAGCATTTGTTAAAATTACAGTCCCCCCATTTTTCAGCTTTCTGTTCCATGGCTGATGTTACAGAGCCACTCTCCCTGTTCACCAGTGGAGGTTTCTGTTCTCACACAGCTAGTCTGCTTCACTGCCAAACCTCTTGAAATATAGCCCTGAAAGGAAGATGGTGGATACTCTGTGAAGTGAATCATTCTTACTTTAGAAGTATAATAGGCAATTTTTTTTTTCTCCTGCAATCATATGATAAGAACAGGAGGTCTCGAGGTAACACACTTTAATCCTGCACTGTGAAACTCACCTGCAAGCGCTAACTTGGGACCACATCTGACACTCCTGATTTCTGAGCTGTTTCTGAGTCTCTGCTATTAATTACCATTACACCACAGAAATGTTTCATCCACCATGTCTTGAGTATGAACCAGGTATCAACAAGAACCTGAGGCTGAAGGCTGGTTATATTCAGTGCTGGACTGACAGGAATTTTTGATTTACACATCAACATAAAATCAGGGGCAGAAAAGTACCATATTTCCACAGGAATGTTAGAATAGTACACCCAAAGAATTCAAGCTATGCCAATATGTCTAGCATTTGTTCTCTGACCTGGTGTATGCACTAATAATCAGGGAACACTCATTCTGGGCCCAGAGTACCATTGTGCCACGTGTAGTGAAGCCTGCTCTCAGTCTGGCTATTCCAGCAAAAAGGAATGGAATGCATCTCAAACAAATTCAATACATATGGATATCATGGTGCATTATGTGTGGAAAATTAATGTATATCCTTGGCTTTTGGAAGTGTAAAGGCTCTGTTGAGCCATGCTTGGGATGATCCACATAACTCATTATTTTTGCTAGCTGTAAATGCACCACTGTCTAAATGGGTCTATACCACTAACACTTCCTTACCACCATTCCAGGCTCTGTGTGCCCAAACAAGTCTATGTGATAGGGGTATCATCATTATATATTGACACAGAGTACAAAGTCATACAATACTTTTCCTTTTGCAAATGGTTTCATGCTTTGCTACGCACTTTTGACAGTATCACTTTTTCTCTGACCACAGGGTTCTGGTCTATCTCTGTCATTCAAAATTTCTCAGCACCTTCAAAATGTCCCATTTATTTTAAGCAACTTGCCAAAGAAATTGTTCCCCTCTTTTTCTCACTTGTGTCTGTGTGTTTGATTGAAAAGGAGAGGAAATAACTGGTGCAAACACCAGCATTGGCAGGATGCAGAACTGTTCATGTAACATGTTTAAGGAATGCTATCTAAGATTTTGCGTGTCTTACAATGGGGAAACAACCTGGTTCCCAGCTGGATATGATACTTCCAGCTCTAAAAATATCTCAATTAGATTACAAGTACTATCATCTTGCAGAAAAGCCAGGAAAGATGGTCATGTTTTAAATGCCAATTGCAGATTGTTTTGATTCTTGGCTTTCAAGTTTAGGAGTGCAAAAGAATACCCCCCAAAACTGAAATACTCTAAATTAATGCCCCACAATCCTTGCTGACCAGCGTGTGACACTATGTGAGAAATCGGCTATAAGCAACATCATACTTTGCTTGTCATGTCAGCCCTTGACTGTAGCAGTATATTCCTGTCACTACAAGCAATATCCCAGGACATGTACTGAGAAGTGCTCTAAAGTGGCTTTTAAATGGTTTGCTGTAAATGTATAGATTATGCAAAATAAGCTTTCAGATGGAGTAAGAATTTCAGGATAGGTTCTCAGGTGATGTGATCACTCAAGTCAATGGACACAGAAGAGATGCTGATTTATGCTAGCCCAAGAACAGTAGTCCTGTATCACAAGTAATGTGAGTAACAAGGGCAATATCCCACTTAAAAAAAAAAAAATTCTTCTCATTGCACCTCAACAGGCTGGTATGAATACAGTTCTATGAAAGTGATGTTTCCTGAGTTTTTAAGCATTTGGGTAAGATGCAGTAGTATCAGAAACAGTCAGATGAGAGTTGTTTCCATGTATCAGATAAGATTTTATTCTCTAATTTACAGAAGAATGTTACTAATAATTTATTTTGATACATGATTCCAACTTCTGTAAAGCTATAAATTCATGTAAAATAAAACAAAACATAGTCAACCCCTGTAGAAATTTCCTGAACAAAGTTTCAATATACTTTATCGTGGTTTCACTTGTCATTTTAGGTCTTCAGATCTACTGTGTCACAGTCCATGCACTACCCACCATCCCATTAGCAATCAGCCTGTCAGCATAAAGATAGCTGTTACATCACACACACACACAAAATTATTCATGCAGGTGTACCTTGATTCTGCTTTTCATGGGCAATGGAATTCACTTTTGCATAGTGACAATCTTCTGGGATTTACAGGTTCATATTAGCTTCAACTACTGTATATCTAAAAGAAACCAAAATGGTAAAACTATCAACAAAAGCAATAGTGTATGACCTGCCAATTATACTGCTCTTGGCTCTTAAGAAATACGAAATGATCAGTATTGTGCAGAAACTGAGTCTGCTAAGTTGTTTAGGAAACAAGTACCACTTAATACGGCAAGAATTTCACTTAATTGCAAGAGAATAACAAATGGGAGGGGCGAGTAATAGTCTCTTATTGATTTACATCCTTATGTAGGACTTTAGTTGCTGGAGCTCATATTTTTTTCATTCTGTAACTCGCTGCATGGCATCCCCACAGGGTTAAAGTCACTATAGATAAGAACCTGCTCCAGATCATGACCTAGGTTGTACTTTATGAGTCAAAGACCTGCTGTATCTTTTAACAAAAATCTTTTGTGTAGCTTGGGTCTCTTATTGATTTACATCCTTATGTAGGACTTTAGTTGCTGGAGCTCATATTTTTTTCATTCTGTAACTCGCTGCATGGCATCCCCACAGGGTTAAAGTCACTATAGATAAGAACCTGCTCCAGATCATGACCTAGGTTGTACTTTATGAGTCAAAGACCTGCTGTATCTTTTAACAAAAATCTTTTGTGTAGCTTGGGATCAACAGATCTTAGATGTATATTGAGGAAGGCCTTTTAATGTGAAATTGAATTACAGATTTTAAAAAAAAAAAAAAGGAAGTAAAAGGTTGTGTGAGACATCCACAAGTGCTTTGATTGCAGACAATTGTTAGCAACTCAGTGGGGACTGGAGTGAAATACAAAATGTCTGGCACCTAGAATTATGATAGAATGAAATCTACAGTCCTCTTATCAAATCATGAAAGCACCACAAAAAGCCCTATTTCCTTCAAAGTGGTGGAATAAATTAGTTTAACAGCTATATAGACAGCAATTTTTGAATTCTTTAATTTTAGCTATGCTGGCACTTAGATAGCTAGGAAATATCTACAGTATACACATCCTTTGATAGGAAGGCAGGGCAGAACACAAGGAGTGATTTCATAGGGTAAGGATAGTAAAACACTTGAAAGACAGCACAAAGTGTACACCAAGATTATGTCACTCTGTGTCTAAATCTCGTCCATGCTGTTTGTGTAAGATTCAGCCCTGAAAGCAGATTGCAGAAACCTGTTATTAAATTAATGTAGTGGCATTTGTCTGCATCGATTGCA